GTAGTCTTACACTGCTAAATTAGGGACGGCTAGCGCAGATAGCCCTCGTGTAGCTTTGCACGAAATTCAAAACAAACAGTACTTTATACTTTATTTATTAGAATAACAGTTTCTCTAACTTCAAGCTGAAGTTTAACAAATAAAATAGTATAAACAACCGGAGAACAATAGATTTTAAGTGAGGGATCATTTATTTAAATACAATTATTTCCTTTAATTTCTAGATGGCAAATAATTGTTAAATTTTATAATTCTACGAGTGGTTCGGGTGTTATTCAGTGACATTAATTACAAACAAACAAAAAAAAAACACACATAGAAAACTGATTTCGATTTTTGAAAATAAAATGTTCGTAAGTCCTCAGAACAGCGAAGCTTCTTTTTATTCACCTGAACAACACCTCACCTTATGTATACAATGGGTTGAATGGCCAGGTCAGGGGTCCCTGTGGTTTAAACATAGCCACCTCTAGTTTGGAACTGCGAGCCAGAGAAAAGGCGCCAGTAGGCAGCACCCGCCACAGGAAACGGCTACACTTAAAAAAAAAAAAATAGCTGGATTGACTGCTACTCTTATAACGCGTCCACAACCGAAAATACGACGGGTGTTTGGTAGCATTAGTCTCAAACCCAAGACCTTAAATCCCCAGTCCGTTAGGCTAACTACTTGGCCACAATCTGGCCAAAACTAAGAAAAACAATTACAGTTGCATAACTTTTACTTGCTGACTTGAGGCTAACTTCACTGAGTAAAAAAGTTGAGAAAATATTTTACTTTTCATACAAACAGACATATATTTATTAATGGCTGTACCTAGGGTAATTTGGATAAATGTCACAGTTATTGTAGGACTGAATGTTGACTTGCCTTTTCTCTTCCGTTGAACGAGTAGGTATTAAATCATTTAAGATTATTCATGATTTAAGGTAATGTCTTTGTTTTACACTGTGCTTCTTTAAAAAAAAAATAACGTGATACATCCACATTTCTTCTGCTCCAGGTAACTTAGTGTGTTTCATAAGTTACGTTGGATAAAGTCCTTTAATGCTATATACAATCTGTTTGAAAATTATGATAACAAATTTGTTTATATTTATCTCTGAACCACGATAAACAATTATGTTAAAACGATTTCTGGACACCCATTGTACCACATTGCCATAGTCTCCAATGTGTATTGCATACCTTCTTCCCTACTTTTCTCTGTTGTATATTTCTTCTAAAGTTATCTCTATTGTATACTTCATTCCAAACTCCTCTCTATTGTATACTTCATTCCAAACTCCTCTCAGCTGTATACTTTTATTCCAAACTTCTCTCTATTGTATACTTCATTCCAAACTCCTCTCAGTTGTATACTTTTATTCCAAACTCCTCTCAGTTGTATACTTTATTCCAAACTCCTCTCTATTGTATACTTCATTCCAAACTCCTCTCTATTGTATACTTCATTCCAAACTCCTCTCAGCTGTATACTTTTATTCCAAACTCCTCTCAGTTGTATACTTTTATTCCAAACTCCTCTCTATTGTATACTTCATTCCAAACTCCTCTGTATTGTATACTTCATTCCAAACTCCTCTCAGTTGTATACTTTTATTCCAAACTCCTCTCAGCTGTATACTTTTATTCCAAACTCCTCTTGGTTGTGTACTTTTATTCCAAACTCCTCTCAGCTGTATACTTTTATTCCAAACTCCTCTTGGTTGTATATTTTTATTCCAAACTTCTCTCCGTTGCTTACTTTCTTCCTTCGTGTGTCAGCTTTTCAAAGCTTATTTATCTTGTTTAAAATTACATTGTTTATAGTTTAACAGTGCTATACGTTTGTCTTATATATATATAATATAGTGTATTTGTTTGGTACGTTTATGAACGTGTTTCGCTAATACTTGAATGCTAAGCTCTTGTTCGAAGTATTGAGACATTTGTAGCATAATGCTGTTCGCGGTGTGTCTTCATTTTCCTGCTTTGTTCACCATTTTTGGTTAATTTGGGTACCATATATTACGTACAGAAAACTTGTTTTGATAAACATTAATCATAACGTATCGCGCTAATCAACTTTCGCTAATCATTTAAAAAACCTCTAGTGAAATATAACAGTGTTTCGTTTAAATCGTTTATTTGGATGAATACATAAGAAACATAAGACGAACAACCCGGAATCAATATCGAAGAGTAATCCTACCAAGAAAAGTTATAAACACTTCCACGTTTCTCCTGAGCCAATAGTTAAATTCCGTTTAGAAATTAGATTTACACGGCTGTACTTAGGACTGTAGGGCCCTAGGCAGCTCTGTCCCAGGCAATATTTCCACATAACATGTCTCCATTTCCGCATTCTTTCGCACAAAAACGTTGTTAGCACGTGACCACTAGGTTAATAGTGTGTTTCACATAGATGCACTTTCTTTGTCAGCAGAAGAAGAATACTCATATTTCTCTTTATTTATACTGGATGACTAACGTTTCTGTTATGCATGTATAACGCGTAAGAAATCATTTCTTGTGTACTCCTGAATTTTAGCGTTTTTTATCTGTTGAGATGTAACTGCTTGATTGCTACGCCATCTGACGTTAAATTAATGTCGATTTGAGTTGTGTAATTTCTGCGTCATAAACTTACGAAATATGCACGAAAGAATATAATTTATTCTATAAAATCAAATATGCGCAAAAAATCATAATTTACCTTATATAAACAAATATGCACGGAATAATATCATTTAGCCAGTAAAATACGTCTTTGGAGTAAGAAACAATGAGTCATTCTTATCACATTACATCCTACTTTTTGTTTTAAACAGGATATCGAAACAAATTAGTTTATCTTGCCTAGATGGCGCTGCATGCCTTTTGTTTCTTAACTTTATGACACTCGTATGAAAAAGGCGAGACTAACTTTCAGTGTTTTGATGTACCATGCGTCTAAATTTTCCTGATTCGATATCAAATGTCCACTGAAAAGTTTCCCGCGTTTTTAAAGCACATAACTGTTTTTCTGAATGTATTAGTCTGTAGTAAGTGCTGGATTCCAGAAGATCTTAATGAAGCGGCTAGATTTCTGTAAATAATGTTTTAACATGAGTTTCTTTATATTCGTGGTTTTGTTTGTTTCACAAGGTCAGTATTCCAGCACATCACTGCTGTTTCGGTTTGATAAATCTGTTTCAGATTTCTAAAAATATATTCAGAAGAAACTGAATAGGATTCATATAACTTTGTAAAGAAGAAAAATATAATGCAGTTTGCAGTTATTATAAGGCAATGTTCTTGAGTTAAGTACGCTATAAATGTGCTCTCTGTAGCGTTTTTATTTCAGTACTTGTTAGAACTCATTTATATCAATTTTGAGCTTTTTAATGTATGCTATAGTATGTATAATTTTTCGGTTAATTACTTTTTATTTCTTTGTATAGTGCAAGCTTTCCTATTCTGAGGATCATTGAAGTAAATGCATGTTGTGACATTATTCTATTTTTAAAGCTTATTTTTTGTTTTAATATTTCTGCAATTTGTGTTACTGAAATGATATGTTTTACATTTGAAAGGATGAAGATACGCAAAGACATCTAGAAATGAGACATCGCGCCGAAGAGGACGACCTCTATCGGCAGTTTGCAATAAAACGTGTAGAAGAAGAAACCAATATCAACCAACAAATCCAAGTAAGAATAATACTTAGCGTAGCATATTTGTATCATGAAATCTAAAGTACAGCATTAAAACTAATTACTCGTCTGTAAAACTATATCAAACATATAAAGGTTTACAAGTCTCATGAAATGTAGAAGTTTATATAATGTACTCTTCTGGCATTAGTCTCCAACCACAAAAAAAACCTTAAGATATTAAATTATAATTAAATTAATAGTCTCATGTTAGTTGTTCAGGTATGAGTATGTATTTTTACTGGAGAACATGTTGTTTCCGGTTTGCGGGAGTTACAGCTTCAGCATTGTTGATTCAAATATTTCTTTATTCAATCAAATATCATCAGGGCTATTTGCTACATATAAAGTTTTATACATAGGTATACACACGTGTGTATCTACGTGTTTGGTTGTTGTTGTTTTTTCATGACATAACATGACATTAGTATGGGATTTATTTACGTTTCCTGTTTGTAATTTTGTGATACCCATAAGGGCATTGCCTGTAATAGCAGTGATTTTTCCACGTCTCAGAAAAAGCAGGACAGCTAATAAAAGGTTAATTCCATTGTTCATAACCCGCTAGTGGTGCTACAAGTTTGAAAGTTGCTATTCATATGTTGTACCTAATCAGTAACGTATATTACTCCATGTTACGTAGACGGAGCGAATGTGAGTTGTGTTTTATATTACAATTATATTTCACTAGGAAGAGTGGGAGAAAGAGTTGGAGAGATTGACTTCAAGATACCAACATGACATGAAAAATAGGAGAAAAAAAATTTCTACTGAAGACGAAAAAGTTCTCACTGTTCGACACCAGCAGGAGCGAAATAATCTCGAGAAGAATATGACTATTAAATTGGACAAAAAGAAGGAGTCGTTGACTAAGAAGCTCCTAGAACAGGAGCGCGCTGCTACTGCAGAACTGGTGGAGAAACACAGCCAAGAGATGCTTGAGCTGATCAATGAAAAAAGACACGAATTAGCAAGGGTAAGATGTGGGTTAGGAAATAAAAAACTTTTAGAGTAATCTAAATAGAACGGGTAGAAATTTATATTTTATCTAAGGATAAATTCGAACTTCACAAATATTTTTATAGAATAAAATACGAGCTAATTAAAGAAACTAATTTATAAAAATGAAACATATTAAAAGACAATTATCCGAATGAGAATATAAAGTCATTTGTTTATCTTTACCTCTCAATTGTTCAGTGATTATTTATCACAGATATGTGTATATCAAAAATATGTACATAGTTTTAATTAACTAATAGTTATAGTTTATGTAGCATACCCTTTATTAGTCTGGCAAACCAATCTTGGTTGGTTGGTTTTAATTATGCACAAAGCTACACAATGAGATATCTGTGCTCTGCCCACCACGGGTATCAAAACCCGGTTTTTCGCGTTGTAAGTCCGCAGACATACCGCTGTGCCACTGGGGGGGCACAAACCAATCTTGAACAAGCTATGCTATATGCAAAAAAAGTTAACATAATCCACCATAATGCACTAATGAAAAATAATTTTGGTAAACAGTAGTTGAGAAATACGTACACATTTTTACTTTTTTTTTTTTAATTAACAATACGAGGAAAAATAACTGGTACTATTTGAGAAATAATCAGCACAATAAAGAAAAGCTATACAATTTTCAAATGAAAAACATTTATGATTTTGTAACTTCGTAAACATAAAATGTACAGAAACTAGAACAAAAAAGTATCCAAAGTGATACTTACATTTCTTCAACAATTCAGCTATAGTGCGCATTTACGCTTAAATGATAATTAAAATGGCGTAAAATCTTGGAATAAAATAATCATAGAAGAATGATTTTCATTAATTTTTATCCAGAAGCACCAAGTAGGAAAACATAAAAAAGTTAAGTTCGCTATTGATTCCAGTTAAGCAAGAAAAAAAAAATGTTATGGTATTGATGACTGTAGTCTGTGGTATTGACAGTGTTTAGACACTTAACTAGCTTGACCTAAGAGTTTGATCATAAATAAATAATCGAGAGAAAGATACAATATTTCCCCTATAATGCCCTAAAATTCTAATATACTCCCATTTTTTTCACAGATGAAGGTAAAAGTTTTGGTTAAAATTTAGAAAATTGGATACAGTATTTTTATGTGCTGCTTTTGAAATGCTACTTGTTCGTTAAAAAAAAACCCGCTGTCTTTTATTGTTCGCAATAAGTAAATTTCAAACGACGAACTACAGAGGGTTGAGTAAGTTATATTCATACGATTTTATATTTGCAAGTAAACAAATCAAGTGACAAACACAGCCAATATAAAGTCGCAAACAGAAGGTGTCAGAAGTATACTTGGACACTGTTTAACGTTTTATAGACAGTGTAACGTTAGTGAAAATAGATCGCTTTCTGGAAGGGTACATACATGTATAACGGCCCTTTCTGACGGAAAATATTCATATACTCAGATCATAAAGATGTGTTCAGCTCGGGGATTTAAAATTTCCAAGACGATTAGTTTAAGTGCGCACAAGAATTTCAATTCCAATGCAAACTATTGTTAAATTGTTAGTTGTTGAAACACTGAAAATATTGCTGTCAGTATTGAAAACACTTAAATTCTAACTGTTTTCGTTGTTATTCTCTATTCCACTGTCCAGTAGCTTCATTGTTAACGTTTATCTTAAAGATCACATTTAAGGTGTAATAAACTAAAAATTAGACTCAAAACTCGAGCGCTTTCGAATAGTTGACTGTTCTTCTTCTGAAGACGAATAGTCAAGTATTCGAAAGCGCTCGAGTTTTGGGTCTTATTTTAAGTTTATTGTTAACATTTATTAATTTTTATCACCATCTACTAGCTTCAAGAAAAATGTGAGTTTCAAAGATTTGAAATTTGGTTAAAGTAATTACTATTACTTGTTTAAAGACGATTTCTTTTATGTCGAATGTTGGACAGTGCTAAGAGCCTTTAAAATAACATTAACTTAAATTTAATTATGAGTTATCTTGAAAACTAATTCGTTAAAATTCTACCAAGATATTTGAAAATGAATGTTTATATTTAAAAATACCTTATAAACGTTCGTATAATATTTTTATTACCTGGAGGAATGTATTAATCATTATTTTTGTTTAAAATTTGGGTGATTTAAATAAAAATATTTAATTAACTTGTAATTAACTTTTTAATTAAACTTTTGATTTTTTACGGACTGTTGTTTAGATATTGTGAAGAATGATTGAAACCCAGGGGAGATTATTAATGTACATATAACATTTCAATAACCACAAACAATTTACAAAAAAACGTGTAAAACTGCAGATGTATACTGAAAAGTTAGTTGCACTTTGTAGGAATGATGTTTTAAGTTCCTGACCCATTTCCTTCGTCGTTGACCACGTTTACGCACTATTGCCCGACACTACAATCTCCATTGTAACAAGTGTTTGCGAAGGATGGCAAAGTTAATCTCAGACCACATATCTTAACAGATTGTCAAACAGACATCCCATTATACGGGGACGTCGACATCCAATACCAATTTTAATCAGACAAGTATGGAGTCGAATGGTATTGCCCTGATTTAAGGCTCCTAGGCCATCTTTCTCACGAAAATGACCGTTTATTTCTAGATGTGCTTGGATGCATAAGAACATTTAGTTTTTGTGCCTCAGTCAGCTTCATATCCTTGTTTATTATCTTGTTAAAGGTAGAGAGATATATGCCAGCTTCATCATCGTGTAGGAGGATTATTTTTGTTAACCATAGCCTTCACTTTATGGATGAGAGAGTTGCTTCGAATTAACTTGGAGTTGGTTTAGGAGACCGTTGTTGTTCTAGCGTCTTGCTGTGCAAGATTTTTTTCTTTCTTGGACATGAGAACTTTGAAAGCCCTCATCTTTGAATTTTTTTTCTTTGGCTCTAATAATTTCACTACGTGAATGTCCTTCTTCCAAGCGAGCTGTGACATTTTTTTTCTGCCATAAGTTCAACCGTGGCGAGATTGTACTGCTGAATGATATTGCCCATATGTTGCCACGGCTCGCAATCACATTAGCATAAGCAAACAATTGTTACAAAAGTACGGTTAACCCTTTGTATGTACGTTTGCACTAAAGAATTGGAATGTAAATATTGTATTAATAAGAGCGTATGTTTGGAATTACTGCGAGTTTATTAAGAAACTACAGTACTAGAAGTCAATCCATTTCAATAGCTTACAGTTTTTAGTTATATTAGAATATATATACATATTTGTTTGATTGGTACTATATCTTAGTACAAAGAGTGTTGTATTTAACTCTTTAAAATGTCTTTTAATTATATACAACTTAAATTCTTTTCAGCTCAAGAGTGTTTATGATGAGAACGATAAGGACGGATACGTGACTGAAGAGTTGGTTCCTTATCCCACACACCCACCACCCCCAACCCCTCCACTGACGGATAAGATAGAGATCTACAGCGACCCAAGCGTGTTTGCAGATTTGGATCAAGTGGCCATTAATGTAAGTGTTAGAGACTTTTAATCGGTCAAGCGTAGATTAATTCTGCGGGATAGGAAGGTCCAAGGTTCGAGCCCGCGATATGCTGCTGAATAAGCTCTACACGTTCAGTTACGGGGGCGTTATAACTGTAGTGTTAAATCTTGCTTCGGTTGAAATTATCCTTATAGGCAGTGGGATCTTTTAGCAGGTTGACCCCTTTCTCAGGTCATCAGTTCTAAATTGAATATAGCCATGCATGAACCCTAAGAGAGTCTCTACTGCCTTTACCGTTTAGCCCGTATGTGCATAAGGTGCCATATTATATACGGTACTATACATTTTAACAAATTAGTATTTTAAAAAGCTCCGCATGATACTAGAAAGATACAGCTGATATTTTACTTCCTAATTGCAAATAGAAAGCGATACGAAATTACCTCTTTTGTCCTAGCCTTACACTGTTTTCAATTAGAGTTTCTTAGACTTCTTTTACAAGTGGACACAACAGATAGCCCAATGTGGCTTTGCTCTAAAATAACCAAACCAAACCTGCTAGTAGTATAAAAGCTTAGATTTGTTTTTAAGCCAGTGTTAAGTTAGGAGCTACCCAACAGCTTTTCAAATGAAATACAGTATAGAAAATTCTTATGGAAATGCACAGGAATCACAAGAACAGAATAAATGTAACTAAATGGTCGATTTGTCATTATTACATAAAATACAAAAGAAAAGCGAATAAGCACTAGTATTTCTTATTTTCTTTATAAACAGTACATCTTGTTTTTTATGCTATCATCATTTTTGTCAATATCTGATTACGAAATATTTTTTCCAAATTCCCTTTATTACTCCTTACAATTCAACCATTTTTCCAAATTCCCTTTATTACTCCTTACAATTCAACCATTTTTCCAAATTCCCTTTATTACTCCTTACAATTCAACCAAGTTCTGTAGTTGTCGTTTCACCTTCTAAATTTCCGCACAAGCCCATACAACCATAATAATATTCATATCTCGGGTCTTCGTGCAGGCCAGGCCACGGTTGCAACTGTTTCATTTGTATTTATCCCCCAGCATGCTTCACCCGAGATGTTTTATGTTAACCATGATACCGTTCCTTCCTCTGCTGTGATGTAGCCTTCACCAACCAAAATTTTGATTTTTATGTCTCATGTAGCATTTCTGTCCTCGGAGACACTACTGTTGAGAACAGTTTTTTTTGTTTTTTTTACATTTTAACTGTGACAGGGATTTAGTTTTGAAGAAAAGTTTTTCCATACTCAGTTTTCCTAACTTCAGTTTCGTGTACTTTTATAGCTGCTATGCTGATGTGGCACTGACTAATTAGTTGGATAACAGCCAATTGCTATATAAGGTATTAACTCATGACTGTAGTCTGGTGCAGGTCATTGTTCTTACAGTAGATGGGAAGTAATTCCATAATTCCACTTGATTAATTGTTTCCATAATTAATTCTAGTACTGTACATGCTTATGTATTTTGTACGTGTAAACGCTTGGAACAAAAATTATTTATATTTTATTATACTGTTATGACCATAATGTTTAATTTCTTAGGTGGCACAGGAAGACCAGGTGACCTTCACAGACCTTGTCAGACTGCTAATCAGAGACTGTCACTCTGATGTAGAGAAAGCAAGGTAGATAAAAAAAAAGGATTATATTCACTCTACACTTTTATAATCCTGAATTTGGAATTTTATAAAGAGTAACTTAAACAGAAAAATGCTTATGACTTCACATTTTAGAAACTTGTTTAATTTTTAGTTTCTTCTCTAGAATAAGTGAATGGTTATATAGTTTAATTATCTCATAGTTATGAAAGAAGAGATTATTCTACGTCTAACAATATAACCTACTTTCCAGAGCCATATTTCGTTGGATCACTGTAAAAAACCTCAACAATATGACGTTTGATGATAACCTGAACGCTGACACCCCCATGGGCATCTTACGGGGAATCAAACATGGAACAGAAAGTTACCATGTCTTGTTTAAACGTCTATGCAGGTAAGTTATATTTTTAGAAGTGTGACTGTAATGAACAAATCAAGTTTATAGAATTGTACTTCCAGTTCAAAACTAATAGTTTTAAGTATTTTACTAGTGAATAAATTATGTTCGTAGACGTCTATTGGTTTTGAAGAAAATTAATGGTTTTAGGACACTGTTTAGTAGAGATGTCGGGACCTTAAGACTACAAGTATTATGGTTAAATAATAAGACTATATACAAACCAGTATTTTTAAATAAATCGCATTACTATCTCTTAGTTTGATTGTTGTTGTTCATTTTGTAACTAAAAGTATCTCATACAGTCAAAAACACATTCAAATAAAACAGTGTTTTATTAGAGAAAAAATAGTAATAAACTGTTTTATGCTCGTTTGGACAGTTATGCAGGTTTACACTGCGTGGTCATCAAGGGTTATTCTAAGAGTGCTGGCTACCAGCCTGGCGTTAAGTTCGAAGACAACCGCTTTAGGAACTCCTGGAATGCTGTGTATGTTGCTGGAGCCTGGCGCTTCGTGCAGTGTAACTGGGGTGCACGCCATCTGGTGAATGCCAAGGAAGTACCAAAACCAGGAAGTAAAGGGAAATCTGACAGTTTACGATATGAGTACGATGATCATTACTTCTTAACCGACTCCAAGGAGTTCATTTATGAGTTCTTCCCACTTCAGCCAGAATGGCAGCTCCTGAAGAATCACATAACTCTGCGTGATTTTGAAGAACTCCCGTTTGTCCGCTCACTGTTCTTTCGTTATGGACTGTACTTTCCTGATGAGAAAACCAAGTCTGTTCTAAACACAGACAGCACTGGCGCTGCCACAGTACAAATTGGTATGCCAATGAAGCTGTCTTCTAGCCTGATCTTCCACTACAATTTGAAAGTGTTCGGAGGTGATGTTGATTCTTACGACGGTGTCAGCCTCAAACGGTTTGTGATGCAATCAGTGGTTGACAACATTGTATCTTTAAGAGTCCATGCACCGTATTGTAGCGCTTTCCTGCTGGACGTTTTTGCCAACGCTGTTACCCCACAGGAATACCTTACAGGTGAGCCAATGAAATTCAAGAGCGTCGGTAAATTTAAAATCGTTTGTAAGGACCTACAGACCGTTATGGTTCCACTGCCAGATTGTGCTAGTGGAGAGTGGGGTCCTATGAAAGCTATACGGTTGTTTGGCTTGATTCCAATGACTCACAAAGATGCCCTATTGTTCTCATCGCGGGAGCTGGAAATCCAGTTCCGCATGTCGCGTCCTTTGACGGATTTCATGGCTACATTACACAAAAATGGGAGTGAAGAGAAGAAATTATCCAAGTACGTCTCTCACAGTGTCGACGAAGATTTTGTTTCTTTCCACGTACAATTCCCTGAAGACGGGCAGTATGGAATGGACATATATACTCGAGAATTGACCAGTGATTCACCATCTTCCGACAAACAGTTGTTGACCCATTGCTGTAAATATTTGATTAACGTATCCAAAAGAAATTAATTCAGTATCTTTTTTTAACCAAAAAAGAAGAAAAAGCATAGAACTATCTTTCCGTTGGTTAACCTTGTGTCTTTCATAGTTCTAAATGGGGTATCTGAAACTGTTTATCGTTTTATTAATTTAAACACAAATACAAGTAACCTAAAACTTCAGGATAATAGAGAAAACAACACCGTAAAGGAAAGTTATGTATGCATAAGAAAGTAAGACGAACCTAAAGTCGTGAAGTTTTTAAAAGTTAAGCACATATATTCAGGATTTAATGGAAAGCGACCATTCAATAGATTTAAATGGATAAGCTTTTTAGATAGCCCTAAAAACAAACAGAAAATTTAAATACGTAATGATGTGTTTTGTATAATATGCAAGTGAAACCGAGGCTTTTCCACTAAAAAAAAAACGCTAATATTTAATCTTGCAAAATCTGAGACAGTTGCATTCTTACGTGTACATTTATTTGTGTGAATTATTTCTGTGAGATGTTATTGTATGTGAGGCTTTTCCACTAAAAAAACGCTAATATTTAATCTTGCAAAATCTGAGACAGTTGCATTCTTACATGTACATTTATTTGTGTGAATTATTTCTGTGTGATTTTATTGTATGTATCTCTGTTTCAAAACTTAGCTATGTAATAAGTTTACACAACATTCCATCTTCGTATTATCTATATATTTATATAGGTAGATGATTTTAATAATGTATAATTATGAAGTTGTATAGCATGATATATCTAATCTAAAATATACTTTTGTGAAACTCTACTAGATGGCGTCGTATATATTGATATTTTGTTTTGTACTTTTCTATGCTTTTTATATACATTTATCGGATACTATGTACGAATGTAAAAAAAAAAAACTTTGTTTTTTTTTGAAGGAGAACTATATTTTTTAATTTCAGTAAAAAACAAGGAATCTGTGGTATCCTTTTTAAATAGTAATTTCATAGAGTACTATTAGGTAGTGCTCTTAATATTATAAGGGATGGAGATTTGCCTCTCTCGGCAACTTTCAGGACTTACACATATGTGGTCACCAAACTACCAACAAAAATTTAGTTATTTTGGAGCAAGTGTGCTAATTTTATTTTTACGAAAATGTTTGTTATTAGAATGGGTTAAACACTTTAATCAACACTTTATTCATCGTCTGTTTTTCATAATTTACTTACCGATTTAATAAAAATAATTTTTCCCTTATTAATACATATAATTTTAACATTACTAATATTTATGAATTAAACAGCTATAAGTATTGAATAATAAATGAAGTGCCATCTAGTAGCAAAAAGTGGTTTTAATGTTGTGATAAAAGTTGAGAAGATCAACAATATGCTCAATTATATTTTAATTGTGACATGGCGCTGGTCTTGAGACACGACCAAAATAGATTAAAAATGGGTGTATTTATATAGCTGACTGGTTCTATACTGTAAGTCTCTGTTCACGGTCAACAAGTTATGAAACTATGTATGCTAAATAACCTAAATGCAAATAATAAGACATTTTGAATTGTTCATATTTCTAAAGTTTCTCGAGAGCAAATTATCTACCTAATTATCCCTAACTGATCTGTTATGCATCATCGTATTTTACTGACTTCTCCCCGGTGTGTTGTTTCAATTGTATTAAAGACAACCCAAATGTTTTAAACTGTGTAGAAACAAGTGGAGTAGGTGCTTGTAAAGTCGACACTAAATTATTGACCCATTCAATTATTTTTGTAACAACTAGTCCTTCAGAGATAGAGAATCGTATTTTGCTAAGATTTTCACTTTAATTTTCAAACATTTTTTTTATGTAATTCTAGTAAACTCTATATTCTTTATAAACCGATTGATCAACAATTTATTTTTTAACTTATGTAATTTTCCTAAATAAATGTTTGTGTTTATGCATGTTTTATTGTTGTCAGGTTTGGGCCACATATTTCAAAACTTAACATTTCAAATTCAGATACAAAATGTTTAGAATTTTGTTTTATTATGTATTTAAATGTGTGAGAAATAAAGTGTTGTTCTTAAGATAAAATAGTCTTCATAGATCTAACAGCTTCCCAGTGGCACAGCAGTATGTCTGCGGACTTACAACGCTAGAATCCGGGTTTCGATACCCGTGGTGGACAGAGCACACATACCCCATTGTGTAGCTTTGTGCTTAATTACAAACAAATAAACCTAACATCCAGGAATCTCTTTTTTTAACAGAATTATATTTAAAAAGATTTTTGTTAGGAAATTTTATTAAACAACATTTTCTGACCACTCTAAATAACAAGTAATAAATAACTTAACTTTATAAGTAACTTAACCACATTTTTACAAGTATAAACAGTTATGAAATTAATTAAACGTTCAAAGAACCGGAAATTCAAGTGGTTAAAATAGCCCAAAAAGATAAAGGAAACTTTCAAAGTTACGTAAAATTTGTCTTTTAAAAGCTCATAATTCGTGAGATTGGTAGAAAGGTTTTATTGTTTTTTTTTTATATGATCGCAGAAAGTTCGGTGATTTATAGAAAAGTTTAAATTGCGTAATGAATTAGTTGTTGGCTCTGAAATAAAAATCATAATCATTCTACCAAATTAGAAATCGTTCAAATGGTTAAACATTCATTATTTTTTACAGTAGTTTGGTTGGTAAGCAGTCTGATAATTATATAAATCAAACTACAGTTTTGGACGGTTTTATTAGCTTTCTAACTTCATTTTTACATTATTGTCCTGATATCTTGATTTGTTTGCTAAGAATAACAGAGTTGATTTTAAAAAAAACATTCCCGTGAACAAAGTCGTAATTGTAAAATATTTTCTCGTCAAATGCTGTATTAGTATCAGTACAGTGTGCTTGGCAAGGAATTGTGCATGTATCACTTACAAATTTATTATGTTTCAACATCGAAACGTAGAATCTGAGATTTATTTAGTTCAGCTTTTACACACTTTCGTAGTTGTATTTACCAAATGAATCAATTAATTCTTTTTTATTTATACTCTCGAACATGAAGTGATAGAAACGATTTTGGCAGACAAAACATGATATACAATTGTTTAATCTAAAATATTTATATATACAGTGCAAATACATAAATATGTGCTTAAAACCCGTGAATTTGGTTGTTATGCATAATATAAAGCGTGTAATAAATCATGTGAGAGTTGTATTTTTGTTGTTGTTTTTATCCACATTCGTGTAAAAATAACATTTCAAATGAATTTCTTTTCTTCCACAAGTCAATGTCCTAGAGGGTTTTCGTTTAATACCATAATTCGTCAGTTGGGCTAGACGATGAGAGACAAAAGATACTCAGAAACACTATTAATATATGAAGTATAATACTTTAAAAGTTACGGTTTAAACGCCAAAAATTGACGAAGCATTAGAAACCAAAGTAATGGTATTGTACGAAAGGCTTCTCAGCAGTACTTTTGTAAACCAAAAGGTTGATCTTTTAGACCCCCAAGCTACAGTTAGAATTAAATAACATTGAGATGAATCATATTTAGGGAAGCATTGGGGTATGAAAGGAAATAAATAATTCATCTTCTTCTCTCTCAAATGTATACCCCCCCCTTCCTTGCTCTCCCATGTCAAATGTATACCCCCCTTCCTTGCAATCCATGGCAGAGTTGCTTTCCCATGTCAAATGTATACCCCCCTTCCTTGCAGTCCATGGCAAAGTTGTTCTCCCATGTCAAATGTATACCCACTTCCTTGCAGTCCATGGCAGAGTTGCTTTCCCATGTCAAATGTATACCCCCTTCCTTGCAGTCCATGGCAAAGTTGTTCTCCCATGTCAAATGTATACCCACTTCCTTGCAGTCCATGGCAGAGTTGCTTTCCCATGTCAAATGTATACCCCCCTTCCTTGCAGTCCATGGCAAAGTTGTTCTCCCATGTCAAATGTATACCCACTTCCTTGCAGTCCATGGCAGAGTTGCTCTCCCATGTCCTCAATAGTGCAGGAGGCTTAGCGGGATCAGTGTTCAGGTTCTGTAGCTACATTTTATTCATGTAGTATTAATACACTTGTATTATTAATAAGAGTGTCTCTCGGTAGGTCAGCAGTAAGTTTACGGACTGACAATGCTAAAATCTGGTGTTCGATTATTTGGTGAACAGAACGTAGATTGCCCAGCGTCTAGGTTTGCGTTAAAATAGCAACAACATTAATTAGATTCTAGTATTACCTCTATGGTGTGTAAACATATACTATTTGCAAAACAAATTATATTACGTAGGTTGTTGCGTGAGTTTACCAACTGTTTTAAATTGTTCTTCAGGTATGATAAAACACCACACCTACTTATTAGCCCACAATTGACTATTTTGCGCAATAGGCATTAGTAATTTGGTTGACATAATTTTGTGGCAACCGGTAATCTTATGTAATGATCACAATGGAAGTATTCCTTGGAAGAAGGAAAAGAAAGTTTGTAATAACAACGTGTTCTCTGAAGAGCAGTGTGCGGGCTATTGATAACAGAAAACCAACAGAACAACGAATACAATGACAGACTTATAAGTGTTCTAGAAACATTTATAATATGTAAGCATAATTCAATAAAATATCTTTGTTCTGCTATGATAAAAGAAAAAGAAAAACCTGTGTGTGTATTGTTTTTATCACAAATTATAGTATCCCGTTTTGTTAATTGGATATAAGTTCAAAACCCTCTTCGTTTTGAAAGTTTGATTGGTACGAGTTCCAGAGTAAAAACACAGATAGTTTCCGTATTGTTATGCTGAACTACAGTGTACTCTCACAAAACTTCATTGTTTTGCCAATCGTTCCGTGATTCGTTCATTGGTTAGTTAGGGTGCTGCAACTTTGTGTTACCGGTATATCGACTTTTTTTGATACGATTATTTCGTAAAACTTGTATTTATCAGTTTTACTTACATTTTATGTGTCTAAGCACAACCTGACCTATTTAATGTATCTCAATTTGCAATAGATATAACCTTGAAACAACATATATCTGTAAAATAAAACACTTTTGACTTTGTTCCAGGATGACAAAACAAAAAACAAAAACAAAAAAAAACGCACGAGACAATCGGCATCTTTATTGCCTTACTTGTCTAATTTGTTTGCATTGGCTGCTTTCCGTAAAATCTATCGATTATATATAT